GAAGGGGGTAGGCTGTGGAAGAGAAGCCAGCCAAGAGACACAGCATCCAGGTGACAATTGGGGGTTTGGGAGGCAGAAGCGCTTTCCCTCCTAATGTTCTGCTCTTCCGTGGCCAGTTCAGAGTGGGTCACAGTGAGAGTCAAGCCAGGCACAGACCACACCCACATCCTCTTTACCACATCGTTGTTGTTGTTGTTGTTGTTCAGTCACACAGTCGAGTCCGACTCTTCGCGACCCCGTGGACAAGATCACGCCAGGCCTTCCTGTCTTCCACCGTCCTCTGAAGTTTGTTCAGTTTCATGTTCCTTGCATCTATGACACTGTCTAACCATCTCATCTTTGACCTTCAATCTTTCCCAGCATCAGGGTCTTCTCCAGTGAGTGCTCCCTTCTCATTTGGTGGCCAAAGTATTTGAGCTTCAGTTTCATTATCTGGGCTTCCAGGGAACAGTCAGGGTTGATTTCTTTTAGGATTGACTGATTTGATCTTCTTGCAGTCCAGGGGACTCTCAAGAGTCTTCTCCAGCACCACAGTTCAAAATAATCTATTCTTCGGTGCTCGGCCTTCCTTATAGTCCAACGCTCGCAGCCATACATGACTACTGGGAATACCATTGCTTTGACCATGTGGACTTTTGTTGGCAGGGTGATGTCTCTACTTTTTATCATGCTGTTTAGGTTCACCATCGCTTTCCTCCCAAGGAGCAGGCGTCTTTTATCCTGAGCTAAACTGAGAAAATTAATGAAGACAAGACAAATGGGAGTGGGGTTGATCTTTTCTCTTCTCCCTATTCTGCAGTTCAGGGAATATCTCTCCGGAAGTTTGGAAGAACAAGGAGGTGAACTTAGGCCTCCTCTGCCACCCCAACCAAAATTCTTCCACCTTTCTTCCCCTGGGAAAGTAAATTGGGGTTTCTGCTCAAAAAGCAGTGTGAAGAACCATTCCCACACCCTGCCATTTGCCTTTCTTCTAAGAACCGAAGAGGAGGCCTGATGGATCAGTGCATTTAGTCCAGCATCCTGTTTCATAGAGTGGCCAATCAGCTGCCCTGGAGAGCTGAAGGAAGAGGGCATGGAGGCCAAGCCCTTTCCCTGTTGTTGCCTCCTGGTGCTGCAGTATTATGGGTTTTACTGCCCCTAAACATGGAGGTTCCCTTCAATCACCATGGTTAATATATTGAATATATTGAATATATTCTCCAGGTGTGAAATGCCTTCTCTGCTTGCCAGCCCCGTGGTTCATGGTACTCCTATATTTTCTGGTGATTTCCCCATGTTAGAAACAGCTGTCGCTTCCATTGCAAACAGCAGAGGTATTTGGTTCTTTCCTGCTCTGTATCCCTCCCCGATGGGGACCCAAAGCACCTTCCCCCACTCTTCCTCCTCCCTATGAGATCAGTCTGGCTGAGACGGTGTGACCGGCCCAAGGTCACCCAGGAAGCATCCGTGGAAGTGTCCCCTGGGTATTCGAAGCTGGGTCTCTTAGATCCTGGTCACCCTCTGTAATCATTATACCACGCAGGGGTCATCTCCTGCAGGAGCGCACAGGATCAGCGCTCCGGCAGTAAAGAGCCCAGGGGACGGGAACTTGCAACAAGCCCCACCCCCTGCTCCCAGCAGCCCTGGGCTACAAGGAGCAACCAGGTAAGTTGCAGAGCCCCATCCCCCCCCCCCGATAGCAATCCAAAACAGTCCATTGGCACCTTTAAGGCCAAGGTTTATTCAGGTACAAGCTCTCCCTCCTCTGTGAGGGCAGATCTGCGCAAACCCCCCCCCCCATAGCTAGCTATCCAAAAGAGTCCAGTGGGGCCTGAGCGGTGGGTGTTGCCTTCTGACACACTTCCAGTGATGCCAGGGGGTGTGGCATATGTAAATGAGTTATGCTAATGAGTTATACGAATGAGCTCCTGCACCTCTTTTTCTACGAAATGACCCCTGACGCTATATCTGATAGCTCAGGGAACTTGCTAAAACCCATTAGTTTTGTAGATGGGAGATATCTTCCCACCCTTCCTGTCTGTCCTGTGGCCCTTTCCTGTCTCCTCATAAGGAAACCTTTGCTTCCATTGCGCGTAGCGGAGGAGCTAATTTGTGTGAGGATGGCTCAGTTTCCTTCATATTTGGCACTGCAAGTCTTGAGGTTAGTGGCCAATACTGAGGGGGCTGCCTTGTTTTTTTTTTAATTAATCGTGTCTTTCACTATTGACCCTGGCTTAGAATGCAAAAACCACATGGTGGAGAAATGTGGGGGCTGCATGGCTCAGCTTGTTCCAGTTCTTTCTCTGTTTGACACAGCTTCGTGGGGGGGGGGTGCCTCATCTCCCGCTGTATCCGCATCCCATTTCTCCTAGTAGCCCCATATCCTCACATTTCTCTGTCTCCTCCCCTCATTCTCAGCCAGAGCCGGCCCAAGGTTTTTTGCGCCCTAGGCGGGGCTACCTTCTAGCGCCCCCAATTACGGGGTTGCCAACCTCTCAGAGTGCCCCAGAGAGCCCTTCTCTCCAGCGCTTGCGCGCCCTCCCTTTCTGGCCTGAGTGAGAGAGACGCGAGGCGCTGGCCGGCCGGCCAACCCTCCCTCCCTCCCCTCTCCTCCCTCCCTCTCTCCCTTTAAAGGATAACCGCCTCCCGGCGCTGGAAACCCCCAAAGCCTGGCCACACCCCTGGGCAAAGGCAAGGTGGCTGGGCGCCTTTGGAGGCCGCTGAAACGGGCTGAGGGAGTTTGGCCTTGCTGCCAGTGGGGGTTTTCGCCTGTCTCCGAGGGGAGCCGCTGCGTTGCTTCTTCCGCGCTCCTCTCGCCTCCCCTCCTCCCTCTGCCCAGCTGAGCCAGTTTTGTGTGTCCCTTGGCGGACTGCCACCCTCCACTCACTCGAGCAGGCAGCAGAGCAGCAGGCAGGAGGAGACCCACAACAGAAGCCGTCGGGGCGGCTCCTTCACGTCTCCCTTGTTTACCTCTCCGGGCCAGGGGGGGTGGCGGCACATCCGCCCGGCGATGGTGGCTCTGCCGCTGGGGCCAGGGGCAGGGCCGCCTCAGCAGCTGGCTGGTTCGCCTCTTCCTTCCTTCCAGCCCCCGCGCCTCTCTTGCCTGCCCCGCTGCCTTCAGCCGCCGCCGCTGAAGGGGGGGAGGGAGATCGGCGCCCCATCCAGGGCCGGCCACTGCCCCATTCAGGGCTCGGCGCTCTAGGCGAATGCCTAGTTCGCCTAACAGGTGAGCCAGCCCTGTTCTCACCCATCAACCAATCTACCTTTATTTGCCCCCTCCCCCATCTTCACCTTTCCCTCCTTCCCTTCCCCAGCAGTCTCCACCTGGGGAAGATCTGGCCCAGTTCTGCTGTGCCAGCCCAGCCACTAGGGCGTGTCCTGTTGCAAGGGGCTAGCTGGGCTGGGCACAGTTGCACAGCAGGGACCCTTCAGGGACTTACGGAGAGTCCCTTATTTGCCCCTGTATCCCCATCCCTGTACTATTTGCCTTTATTTGCCAGCCCCTGCATGGTCCAGTTTTTAGGTTTCCTTCTCAAATACCGTACTAGTAATCAACCCATCTTTTAACTGCTCCCCCCAAGTTCAGCTTTATCGATAATTTATTTGCTTTATACGCCACCTTTCTTCCCAGTAATGGTTCAAAGCAGTTAACAGAATTCTCTGCTCCTCCATTGTATCCTCACAACAACCCTCTGAGGGAGGTTAGCATGTGTGTTTGGCCCAACGTCACCCAGTTTGCTTCCAGAGCAGAGTGCAGATTTGAATTGCAGACTCCCAGGATATATTCTGGAACTCTTAACCACTAGAGCATGCTGGCTTTTGCAGTGTGGTAGTGTTGGACAGTAGCAAGCAGCCAGTCCTGGATGAGTCATAGAATCATAAAGTTGGAAGGGACCTCCAGGGTCATCTAGTCCAACCCCCTGCACAATGCAGGAACTTCACAAACACTTCATACCTCTAGTGACCCCTGCTCCATGCCCAGAAGATGGCAAAAACATTCCAGGATTCCTGACCATGCAAGTGATCATGCACTCAGTCATGCAACTGGTGTCCTGGCTCTGATTGTTGTTGAGCCCGGCCCAGGGGAGGCTTCCTTCAATGGCCAAATCAACCCTCTAAAGGCCAATATCTCCTGTCTCTGTCAGAAAACAAAGCTTGAAGGCTGACAATACTGTGTGGTGACCCTGCAATGCTCACTGTAGTTCTTATGTTACAGGGTCTGCTTCCAGTATTTGGGGGTGTTATAAGTCCGCACTGTCCTTTCCCCCCTGCTTTTCTGGAGGCCTGGGTCATTTTTTAAGTTTGTAGAAAGATCTATCTTGACTGTCTATTTCTCCTATCTCTGGATTCAAGTGTTTCCATGTTTTATTCCTTTCACATTATCAAGCAATATTTCAATAAAATTCATGATTTTCTAAAAGCATTTTTTTAGTTTTATATTTTAGTTTTATATATATTTCAGTTTTATATGTTCTCTAAATATGTTCTCTAACATATTAACCTAAATGTGATCTCAAAGAGGAACCGTCTGCAACAGAAGCAAGAAATCCCCTCCCTGTTCCTTTAGTCACCGTTTCTCTTTTCCCAAGACATCCTGTTGTCTGGTTAATATTTCTGGAAAAAAAATTTTCAGGCCCCGAGATCTCAATTTGTTAGCTGGTATTTGTGCATTTTCATTCTTATTTGATTTCTGTCTCTCTTTTGCAGTTGGAGAAGTGAGGGAAATGGTGAGTGAAAAGGAATCAGAAAGGAGACTTGTGGGAAAAGACAACAATCTACAGGAGGAAGCACAGTCTGGCGATCGAGTGGTGACTGTGGGACAGTTCAGAAGGAAAAGGGAAGCAAAAAAGAAGCAAAGGAAGGATTTGGTTTCTTGTGAAGGCAAAAATAAACCTGAGGCCTCAGCCCAAGATGAACCAGGGAGGAGAAAGAAGGTGTCTAATGGTGCCGTAAATGACAAAGGGTTCAGCCGCAAATTGAGCGTTAAAGCATTTAAGAATGCTACAACATGCTGGAAAAAGTATAAATGCTTGGAATGTGGGAAGAGCTTCCATTGGAGTAGTGCACTAAGTACGCATCAAAGGATTCACACAGGGGAGAAGCCATATAAATGCTTGGAGTGTGGAAAGTGCTTCTCTCGGAATTGCAGCCTAACTGTGCATCAAAAGATTCATACAGGGGAGAAGCCATATACATGCTTGGAGTGTGGAAAGTGCTTCTCTCTGAGTACCCACCTAAGTATACATCAAAAGGTTCATACAGGGGAGAAGCCACATACATGCTTGGAGTGCGGAAAGTGCTTCACCTGGAATGGTGAACTTATTAAGCATCAAAAGATTCACACAGGGGAGAAGCCATATAAATGCTTGGAGTGTGGAAAGTGCTTCTCTTGGAATTGGAGCCTAACTGCGCATCAAAAGATTCATACAGGGGAGAAGCCATATACATGCTTGGAGTGTGGAAAGTGCTTCTCTCTGAGTACCCACCTAAGTAGACATCAAAAGGTTCATACAGGGGAGAAGCCACATACATGCTTGGAGTGCGGAAAGTGCTTCACCTGGAATGGTGACCTTATTAAGCATCAAAAGATTCACACAGGGGAGAAGCCATATAAATGCTTGGAGTGTGGAAAGTGCTTCTCTCGGAATTGGAGCCTAACTGCACATCAAAAGATTCATACAGGGGAGAAGCCATATACATGCTTGGAGTGTGGAAAGTGCTTCTCTCTGAGTGCCCACCTAAGTAGACATCAAAAGGTTCATACAGGGGAGAAGCCACATAAATGCTTGGAGTGTGGAAAGTGCTTCTCTCATCATCGCACCCTAACTGCACATCAAAGAATCCATACAGGGGAGTTGCCATATTCATGCTTGGAGTGTGGAAAGTGCTTCTCTGAGAACAGCAGGCTAAATGCACACCAGAAGATTCATACAGGGGAGAAGCCATATAAATGCTTGGAGTGTGGAAAGTACTTTTCTAACAAGAGCATCCTAACTGCGCATCAAAAGATTCATACAGGGGAGAAGCCATATACATGCTT